TAACCTCTGTGACAACACTTACCACCTCAACCTAACCTCTGTGACAACACTTACCACCTCAACCTAACCTCTGTGACAACACTTACCACCTCAACCTAACCTCTGTGACAACACTTACCACCTCAACCTAACCTCTGTGACAACACTTACCACCTCAACCTAACCTCTGTGACAACACTTACCACCTCAACCTAACCTCTGTGACAACACTTACCACCTCAACCTAACCTCTGTGACAACACTTACCACCTCAACCTAACCTCTGTGACAACACTTACCACCTCAACCTAACCTCTGTGACAACACTTACCACCTCAACCTAACCTCTGTGACAACACTTACCACCTCAACCTAACCTCTGTGACAACACTTACCACCTCAACCTAACCTCTGTGACAACACTTACCACCTCAACCTAACCTCTGTGACAACACTTACCACCTCAACCTAACCTCTGTGACAACACTTACCACCTCAACCTAACCTCTGTGACAACACTTACCACCTCAACCTAACCTCTGTGACAACACTTACCACCTCAACCTAACCTCTGTGACAACACTTACCACCTCAACCTAACCTCTGTGACAACACTTACCACCTCAACCTAACCTCTGTGACAACACTTACCACCTCAACCTAACCTCTGTGACAACACTTACCACCTCAACCTAACCTCTGTGACAACACTTACCACCTCAACCTAACCTCTGTGACAACACTTACCACCTCAACCTAACCTCTGTGACAACACACTTACCACCTCAACCTAACCTCTGTGACAACACTTACCACCTCAACCTAACCTCTGTGACAACACTTACCACCTCAACCTAACCTCTGTGACAACACTTACCACCTCAACCTAACCTCTGTGACAACACTTACCACCTCAACCTAACCTCTGTGACAACACTTACCACCTCAACCTAACCTCTGTGACAACACTTACCACCTCAACCTAACCTCTGTGACAACACTTACCACCTCACACAGAAATTTCATTACAAAGAAACTGCCATTATTGCCTGTATTTAGCAATTCTGTGGTTTAGGTGGGGGGAGACTTTGAGTCTGGGGATTAAGGGCCACATGGCTAATGCTGTTGCCACACACTGAGCAGGTTAGAATCTTATTTTTTTTTAAATTCATCCCCTGACAGAAAAAAAATAAATCCCCAACCTTACCACATGTATTGTTTGTGTTTGCATGATTTCAGAACTGCACTCCTCAGTATCATCTGTGCAAACAAGTTGTTTCAAAAGTGTAAAGTGTTCATCATGACATGTTTCAAAGACCAGCTCTTGCTGGAATCAGAACAAAAGACAAATATTTGTTTTTCTGTTAAAAGTCATTAAAATGTCATACATCACTTTCTTTACCCAAGGGAATGTTTTCACTTAACTCTTTACTACTTTTGTATTTACTGATTACTACCTAACGGCACTTGGTGGGTAATGTGGCCAGCATCACGCCGGCCGCCCAGGACTGTACCTGGTACCTACTCAAGGCTTGGTCAACATGGAAGCCATGGTCATTTTTGAAAAAAAAAAATTCTGGCTCCCATCAGGATCTGAACCCACGACCTTCCGATCCACAGGCAAGTGTCTAGTTGCTAGACCACAACGGCTCACCAAAAGGTCAGGCTTTAAAAACACTTCCCATGAATATCGGATTATTCCCACCCGCAGGACTGAGTGGCAAAAAAGCTTAAAGACACATTTTCCAACTTCAAATTAAACAAGATATTTCTGAAAATTTCACTGCGACTTAATAAAAGTGGAGATGGGGGAAAAATGGAATGTAAGCTGATAAATGCAATATTTCATTGATATGCATAAAATATAATGGTCCACTGAAAAATCTGGAATTATACCAATTTAGCATTTTAAATGGAAACAGAGCAGGTAGTTATAGACCTCTCCAACATGACAGGAATGTGCATGCAACAGACAGTTTACAATAAGTAGATATAGCACTCTCTGTTCATTGTAAAGGCAACAGTAACAATATAAAGGTATCGATTGTGCACATTTTTTATACAGCCAAATTTGTATGAACTGCTGCAGGGCAAGAAAATAAAAAAGGCAATACTAATAAGTTACAATGCTATAGACACATGTGCGTTAACATAAATTTGTAGCTGGTTCATCTAATCATGTAGCGCCAGCAGGAGAAACTAAATGGAGAATTAGAAAGGATGTTATTGCAGCAAAGTGTCTCTCAGAAACAACACTCCAGTTATGGATATTCTCTAACAACTCCATTCTTTCACATACTTTAAATTAAAGATAATAAAAGCTACTTTATTATCTGGCAGTAGAGAGAAAACCGCCTATGAAAATTACCTTGAAAATAATAAGCCCATCTCAAGCTTGTTTTCACAAACCCACATGAATTCATGTGTGACAGAACAGAGATTTCCCTGTCTGGGACCCAGGGCCCATTAAAAGGTGGTAGCAGGTACCACGCCCTAACAAGTATGTTACAAAAAAGCGACTTATTAGGAATCTGCAGAAACTGAATGTGTTGTGCCAAATGGCAAAGATATCACAGCCTAGCTGTAAAACATATAGAGCGTCAACTGCCCCTTTAAGGGCCAACATAGGAGTAGCAGAAGAAGAAGGGATATTGACTCCCACAGCAGAAAGATGACCTCCTGCTAGTATTTGGATCTGAAAAAGATCTGTAGCGATATATTCCAAATAACATCAACTTCCCTATAAGCAAATTTGTTCATTGTAAGCTGCATTCAGTCAATAAAAATAACATGAAAGGCACTGAAAATTGAACTCAGCATCCGGTTTGTTCTTTCTTTTTATAGAAAATATATGTATCACATTAAAGGCAACACTTGGTAACATTGTCAAAACAAGTCAAGTTAATGGCTCAGAAACATAGACAAAGAAACACATTAAATGTTTAAGGCAACATTTGGTAACACTATTACCACATTAAGTATTTAAGGCAACATTTTGTAACACTATTACCACATTAAGTATTTAAGGCAACATTTGGTAACACTATTAACACATTAAGTATTGAAGGCAATATTTGGTAACACTGTTAAAATTACAGTTAAAGTTATGGCTCAGAAATACACCATCACAATATAAGAAACAAAACTTTTTATAGAAGATGGCAATATTATCACATGACACCATAAATTTGCCAGAATGAAAGATGTTTTGCTGCGAATGTAAAGTGTTAAAAGCTTAACCCTGCCGTGCCAAACAGACTAAATTTAGTCATTTCTGGTTGTTGTCACAGTCACCTAAAAACTGACATATCAGCCTGTCTGCTGCAACCTCTACTCAAAAACTGTAGTTAAATTCCATTAGTACTACGTGCGCCTGCAGTGCTTAACAACAAGAATATGAATAACCAAAATATGTTTTAGGGAAGTTTCTTATGACCCCATTGGTTTTTGTGTTTTTAAGCCAAGCTGATGTTAAATTTCCCTGTAAGCCTCAGTGATAGAGGTAACGGCATGAGTCACCCGATGCATATTGGAGCTTTTTTTAAGGCTTTGGAGAATGTATTTCGTTTAATGTTTCACTGTTCATGTTTATGGATTACCATTTTTATATATCTTTAGATATTTAAAAAAAAAAATTTACAATGTAAATAAATAAATAATTACAAAACTCTCCAAGTGGATTCTGGGGCTAAATTTTAGGGTAAAAAGTAATAGACACAGTCCCTAACAAGCATGTTGTAAGAATCCACTAATTAGGAATGTTTTTTTCAAAGTCAAAGTGCAGTTGCCTGAGAGGCAATGAACCAACAGGCTGCTTTCTATAACATGAATGTTTATGGAAAACTAAGGTTCTGAAATGAGACTAACGTCCATAAGTGGATGAATAATCAGAGCTATCTGCAGGAGTTTACAGCCGGTGATTGTGAAGAAGAAAAAAGGTTTACAATTTTTGTGTTTGACCTGTGTAAAATGGTTGCTTATTAAGAAAGAAAAAAAAAGAAATTTTTACGCTGGGAATTCTCATGGGACGATAACCCATTTTTTTAAGCAGGGCAAGAGGGTTAATGGAGAAAGCTTGGTTTTCAGTAAATGATACTGTAGATAATCATGTGTGGAAAACGTTATGGCCACAGGTTACTGAGTTTCTTTTGTGTGTGTGCCATATCCTCAACAAAGGTTGGCCAAACTGCACTCACTATGGTCTTAATGAATATTATGCGGTAAAGCCCCAACCTCTTCCTCGATGCAACTCTCATACCACTGTCCGAAAATCATGAGAGCGGAAACTGAATCCTGGTACCTGAAGATTGAATTAGTAGTAAAATATCTATAATGTAAATATACTTTTCTATTCCTCAAATACAAACACAGACCACACTCTTCCACTAGTTAGCAGTTAAAACATGAAATGGAAAACTTCTGTAGGATAGAGTCATAATTAATTTTGTTTATACAAATTTACAACACGACTGTTCAAACAGTCAGATAATATTTACAATATTAGAGTGGGGGGAAATATTCAACATTCTGTGTTGATCAATTTCAATGCCAGTATTAAAAGATATTTTTGTTGACCTAATTAATTAAGTACCAATTAAAAATATTTAATATTAAATTTTTTTTTTTTTAAATGTGAAGAACTCTTGTCAAGCCTTTGGCATAGAGTGCCTATATATTATTTACCAACCAATAGGTGATGAGTGCTATGGTAAGCCGACCATTATTTCTCAGAACATTACCTGGTATGCCTATTAGGCTGGGTCAACCTGGGAGCCCAGGTTAAATCTGAAAAACAACATCTGCCTCAATGTAGACCTGAACCCAAGACCTTCAGGTTGGCAGGCTTGATCCCTACATTACTGCAGCTCCCTTTTACATCAGGTAATGATTTACTTCGTTGTCAGTATCTGAAGATGTTTCATGTTCTAAGGTGAGCGACTACAGTGTTGGTTTTTGAAGATGTTTCATGTTGCGTGCTGATCTATTTATGTACTATTCTTTGCAGAAGGTTAATGTTGTCTTTAATGCCAGTCTTTGGATTTTGGTCCAAATTTGAAGCAGAGTTTCTTTGGATAGTTTTTGTCTCTGGGGAGATCAGCAAAGTAACCCTCTAGCCGTGAATATCTGAAACAAGAGAAGAATATTACACATAAACACGTGCATATAAGTAAAACACAGGAATTTCTCATACCCATTGGCTCCCTAGGCATATGGTGTTGGACATATATTTCTATAAGCAATTAACACTTGATCGGTGATGTAGTCAACATCACACCATCATGATCATTGTCCTGCTGTACCAGTATACATCACATGAGGCTCATAGTCTACTCCAACATGATCATTGTCTTGCTGTACCAGTATACATCACATGAGGCTCATAGTCTACTCCAACATGATCATTGTCCTGCTGTACCAGTATACATCACATTAGGCTCATAGTCTACTCCAACATGATCATTGTCCTGCTGTACCAGTATACATCACATGAGGCTCATAGTCTACTCCAACATGATCATTGTCCTGCTGTACCAGTGTATACATCACATGAGGCTCATAGTCTACTCCAACATGATCATTGTCCTGCTGTACCAGTATACACCACATTAGGCTCATAGTCTACTCCCCCATTCCGTTCTATCCTGTCCAATCAATTCAGTATCATGAATGGAATCTAGTCCAGCAGCCTTGGCCTCTCTCACCAATATATGTTTTAGGGTTTCTTTTGGGTGTCATGGCGTCCCAATCCCTTCATTCCAATTTAATGTCTGTTTAGTGATTCTCTGCTTGTCTCTACTCAGGATGTGTCCAATATAGCGCCATTTTCTTTGCTTTATAACTGCTGATATTACTGGTTGCCGAGACACTTCTATCTCTTTACCACTCTTGAATTCTTACCATGTTACAGTAAAGATTTTCCTCAGGCATTTGTTTTCAAATGCATTTAACTTTCCTTCCATGCCTTTAGTGGTTCTCTACCTTCCACTAGCATATCTGAAAGTGAAAAGAACACGACAGGTGCCTTCATATTTCCCAGCACCCATTTTAGGCCGGATCTCCTCAATGTTCCTTTTCTTCGGGTTGACAAAAAAATATGCATATGACATGCACATGTAGCAGGTCCTTTGAAGACATCTCTCTCATCACAGCCCGCCCAAAAGAAACTCGGTCCCTCGCTATGTGAACCTTCCTACCAAGGCGGTAGTTATATCCTGTGCCCATCTCCAAGCTGGCCAACCTCTGCCCCTCTTTCCTGACATCGCGCCTTCTGCTATCATTCTTTCCAATCCACTGTGGCACCTTATCAGGCCATAATACTTAAGTTTCTGGAACAAGATGGCAATATTTGCAAATACAGATATAAAATGTACTCTCAGCATCATCATCATCATCAGGTGCCTTGCCGACTGGCGTGGGCGATCATGCCTCTCCATAATCCGCGATCTCCTGCAGCATGTATCAGTTCGTGTGCCGACACACCTCCATGCCATGCAACAAGACTGTCAAGCATCTTCTCTCGTTGTCTTCCTCTATCCCTCCTTCCACAGATCTTTCCAGTGGTCACAACATGTTCTATTTTCCCTCTTCTCATAACATGGCCGAAAAATGATGACTGTCTCCTTCTGATGTCAGTGATAAGTTGTCTTCGGTCTCCCGCCTCTTTTAAAACCTCTTGGTTGCTCTTTTTGGCTGTCCAAGGTATTCTAAGCATTCTTCTGTAAAACCACATCTCTGAGGCCTCAAAAAATTGTTTGGCCTGCCTACCGATTGTCCAGGATTCACATCCATATGTTAAAACTGGATGTATGTAGCAAGCAAGAATTCTTTTTCTAACTCTCAATGACAAGGATATATTGCACAAGATGTTTTTCATTTTATAAAATGCAGTTTTTGCCTGTCCAATTCTGTTTCTTATTTCAGTTATGCATCTTCCATCTGATGTTATCCATGTGCCCAGATACTTAAATTTCTGTACTTGTCTTAAAATAACACCATTGACTTTTATTACACATTTAGGAATAATTTGTTTCTTTGATACCACCATTACTTCTGTCTTCCCATTATTCAAACTGAGGCCCATTCTTCCACTTTCTAACACCACAATGTCTATCATTTCCTGTAATTCTTTCTGACTTGTTGCTATCAAGACTGTGTCATCAGCATAACGTAAATTGTTTATATTGTGCCCACCAACCACGATTCCGGGCATATCAATTAAAGATCTCATAATATATTCACTGTATATTGAAAACAAATCAGGTGAAAGTACACATCCTTGTCGTACGCCCCTCTTTATGCTTTGAAATGTACCTAAACAGTTGTTAATTCTTATAGCTGCTGTTTGCTGCCAATACATATTCTTTATTATTCTTAGATATTTCCCATCAATGTTTAATTTTTCTAACAGTTTGATTACTTCTTCATGCTTCACACAGTCAAATGCTTTTGTATAGTAATTTTGAGGCATGATTTTCTTGGGATGGTACAGCGGTGGTTTCCCCTTGCCTTCCGCCGGTTTGTATATGGTTTGACTCCAATAGCCTTTGTCTTTTTTAAAAAGACTTACCCTGCAAGGCAGCAGGGAGGAGAGGTTAAGGCTCTCAGCATAGATGATGTTAAAGGACCCTTTTTTATGCCTTTGGCCCATCAGACATATAGTCAGTAAAGGACCCTTCTCATACCTTCAGGTGTATTGGGCATATAGGGCTAGACCTATATTTATAAACCAATACGCACTCAATGTGTGTTGTTGTCAACTTTATGCTGGCTGTCTTTACTTCCAAGGACATTACCTGGTATCCACTTTAGGCAGGATCAACCGGCAAACTTAGGTAAATTTTTCACAAAATCCACCTCGTTAGGGAACTGAATTCTACACCTTTAAGCTAGCATATAGCTACTACACTATCATGGCTCTCAGCCATTCCTTAAAAAGAAATTTACTTATTAAAACAGAACAAGTTTTACAGTTTTACTTAAAAGTAAAGTAAAGGGCTAGACATATATTTTATAGACCATGGTACAAGATGGGTCAGCATCACGCCGGCCGCCTTTACTTTCCAGGACTGCACCTGGTACCCACTCACGGTTGGGTTGACCTGAGAGTCAAGGTTATTTTTACCATTTTTTTTAAATACATTTTAAAATCGATCAATCTTTACCTTAGGGATCTGCTTAGTTTTTCATATGTCATCTTCTTCTTATTCTTCTTTTTCTCACCCCACAATCGTGCGACCTCTGTGGAGTTGATGACTTTGAACACACCGTCAGGCTTTGAGATCCACTCAATGATTCCCTGGTTCTCAGAGCTATGAAGAAGGTCTCTCATAAATTCCCAGAGATGGAGTACATTTGAGACTGCAGAGGGAATAACAATGCCTTTTTAATGTTATTAAAAACCAACAGAATACTGAAATATACCTTACTCTTTCAAACAGATATTGCATTTATTATCAACAGGAATGAAAATTATTCAATTGTTATTAAAAACAGAAAATGGAAAACGTCAAAAACTAAACAATTGTTGAGAAAGATGGGAACAACAGCAAGCACTGAAGACACACACACAAAAATTAAAATTAATTTTTAAAAATTTAAAAAGAAAACAACTGTTAAGACAGCGAGAAGGAATAGCAAATACAGAAAAAGAAACAATTCTTGAAAAAGACAGAAGCCATGAAGAACAATGAACTGTTAAGAAAGACAACAATAATTATAAATTCCACATAGTATTACATACCTTGACCTGGTTTGCGTCCCGGTTTTCTCCTTTCTTTTTCAACATACGATGGTGAGTCCCTCACAATCTTCCTCTTCTTCTTGGGACTTAATGAAATATTTGGCACATAAAGTGAGACCTTCTCTGACTCTGTAGAATTCTGTGAAATGAAAGGATATTTATCTTTGTAAGAATTGGGACTTCTTGGGCTGAAGTGCTACAGAAGGATTCTCAGAAAACCATGGACCAAAAGGAAAAGAAATACTAACATCCTAAAAGATCTGACCATAAAGGAAGATTGGTCCCTAACAACATCTTGTTTTGGAAACTGAAATACTGTTTATAATACATCACAGTGGAATGGAAACGGTACCCTTCAGTTCTGGTTTCCTTTCCTACTCATGCCATGTATTTATCTCTTTGTCTTCCTCTTGCTTATTTTCTACCAAATGTCACTAAATTTTCAATAATGTTTATTTTCATAACATGTTCATCCTCATGGGAGTTAAAGGGCACAATTTGGAGACAAAAGACTAGACTGACTGTCCCTTTTTCTTCTTGTGATCACGTTCTGATTTACACCGACAGACAGGTTCTTGTGATAAATTTGACTATTTTTAGGAGTTCCCTTTAAGTTCCATACAACTCTGAGTAGAATGTTAACTCAGTGGACCAGTATTCCCCTCCTAATAATATGAATAAGGGACATTCCTGCAGGATACACAGTGTAGTTTGCACACCCATACACAGACCACATGGGCAAAATGGTGAGCTACTTAGACCAAGCCTGTGCAAATGATGTATATGCTTGTTAAGTCTGTTATGTCCTGTCATGAGGAGTAGAATAATGACCTGCCCATGCCGGTCAAGTAAGTGGTAGTCATCTCTGGCCAGATTTTGATCACTTCTGATAGCCTGAATGGCTCTTTTCTTCTTAAAGTATATTACTGCATTCTCTTACTGTTCACATCTTGTTCCTTTCTTAGCAAGTTTACTTGTGGTTTCATTCCCTGACTGCCCCTTAACTGTAGTAAAAGGTGATTAATTAAGGGTGTGCTGAGATCGGTGGTGCCAACAGGCACAGATAACACAGCCTAGCTGTAAACCAGAATGTATCAACTACTATATTAGGGGCAAATGGAGAAGAAGAGACAATGTTCAAACAATCTTGCTCAGTACACACCTGAATTTGTGAAAAGTTTGGTAACGTCGTTTCTATGACTTCCCCATCTGAAGATACCACTGATTCTTGTTCACTGTAAGGGTGAAAACTCTGAAAATCAATAACTGGTCTATACCCATCTGGAAATGTAAAGCAATGCCTGAACGGATCTCCATCGGTGCTGCCACTATCACATTCATCTGTAAAAACAAGACAATTTTATTTGTAAGAGACGATCAGTAAGTCAGTAATATTAAGATTTCTTTGAATTATCCCAGTGTCTTCTTCTTCTTCTTCTTTGCGTTCACCAGCTGTAAACTCTGGCGGAGGTTCTGGTTGCTCGTCCACTACTGAACTACAGTCCTGCTCCAGAACCTGAGTGTTGCGTGTGCATCAGTTTTACAGATCTCATTCTCTTGAATACAGACTGCTGGTTCCTTGCCTCTCCGGCAGATGCACTCCGACTTCAAAGGAAGCTCCCCAATTAGTCAACTCTTACGACATGCTTTTGAGGAGGCAGTGGGTCTATTCTTGTTTTCCCCACAATGGGGCCCCGGAACCCACACGGGGGTATCCCAGTGTGTATGTTGAGAAAGGTGAAGACAGGCATGCTTCGCGCAGTGGCAAGTATCACTTCAAAAGTCACGGGTAGTTGGCGCCGTTTGGATATTTTCTCAAGGTGATGCTGGTGTGTTGGGAAACGAGCAGGCAGATAGAATGGCTGGTTGTGCACCGCCTGGTGGTGAACTGATGTATGACAAGCTAGATGCTGTGAGGGCCCTTTGGAAGTGAGTGAAAAGTGTGCAGGCAAAAACAGATCATTACAGGCTGAGGAGGATGGCGCTGCTGGGAGTTACTAGGAGATCTGGCTAACGCCCAACACTCAAGAGAAAAGCCAGATAGATGTACAGACTGTTACTGGTACCACTGGAACAGGAACTTTTCACTTGCTGCTGAAGATGGGGACGGACAGCTTATGGGTATCCCAAGTGTTGTACTGTCTATTCTTATTTCAACATTTCGGGGTGGATTCTGGGGGTACTATTTGAGAGGACAGAAATAATTGCCCCAAAGCTCCTTAACAAGTATATTTACTTCTTATAGTCCATGTCATGTTGCTAGTAATGAATATCTACAGCCTTCTGTCTCATGTACTTTCAATCATTTGTGACACAGATGCTCTTCCACACTATTGTGTCACTACCATGATACACTCCAGTTCTCTCTTTCTTAAGAGTCTGTTGTGACAGGAGACTAAATAGGGTTTTTCTGAAATCAGATTTAATGAGCTGAAAGGGCACAGATATCAAAGCCTAGTTGTAAACCTCAGAATGTTTCAATCACCCTTAAAATAGCGAATAAATAAGACACTTCCAATAATTCAGCTAAGAAACAGTAGGAGCCCGTTTCATGCCAGCAGGAAGTAACTGAGAACATTGCTTTTATGGATGAATGGTTCTTAACTTCTTCAGCCCTAAGCATCTCACTATCCGTTTGTTGCGATCTCGTACATTACACACTATTCCTCACCTTCTGTCCCACAACCAGTAATTATGTTAACTTACTCTGTCTCAACTTTTCCTTTGTTTCCTTCTTTCTCATAGTGTTATCAATTTATCTGCTTCTGACTCAAACATTTATCATTTAAAATAATTAATAAATTCTTAGGATATAATATTTCACTCTTTCAGTCCCGACCATCACATCATGTGTGATAAACTTGTTCTCATGAATACCAAACATTTTGCATTCGGTCATAGGATACTAAAGAAATCTGGTACTCCTAGTTGCTTCTTTTTTACTTTGCTACTTTTAATTTTTCATAGTGGTTATTTTTCCCCCTTTAAACAGCTACTTTGAAAAGTTCTGGGACTGAAATAATTAACTAGCATCCAACCTGGGACTCACAGAGTTTTGAGGTGACGAGAGTACCTTTTTCTCACATGCATTCTTATCTTCGATCCCCCCCCCCCCCCCCCCCGTGGTTTTCTAAAAGTGTTATACCTTTTAATGTGTCTGAGCTATTTCAACGATCTCTTTTCCTTTCATTTCTTAACCAGCAGCTCAATATTTTATTCTCACATCCCCTTTTTGTATTCGTTTATTCTCGATAGGATATAATAACTCTTCTTATTTCCATTAAATAAATTTCCAGCTTACAAGTATAATAAATACAGCTTAAACTATTAAACTATTATGTACTCTGCATTTCACAAACCGTTAGGACAAGCCTGAGATATTGTTATTCTTATTGTTTATGTTTTTAAATTAAAAATCTCAGACAAATGTAAGTAAGTTCAGACTAAGAAGTTACTTCCTGGTAGCGAATTATAACCGTAACGAACTAATTCTTCAGAATATTTATTATAAACCGAATCATTACAGATAACATATTTATAATTACCTCCATCATATTTCTGTAAGGAAGCTGTATTGCAGTGTGATTTCTTGCTATCTATTCGTAAATCTAATGGTTCCGAACAACATAAATACATAATACTGTAGTAACTTCATCAATGTTGTCAACATTGGACCCGGACATGACGACATAAGGGAAGCGACTCTGTTAATTTGTACGTACATGAACAATACACCGGTAACCGAAACCTCCCGTAACTTGCCGCAAGAATACATTTATACACACACACACACACGCACACACACATTTATATATATATATATACATATAAAACCAAATGTTATCCCTGTGTGGTTTCCTGAACCCTATAGTGGGGAAATCAAGAATATATTATTGCCTATGTCATGTCGTATCCAATCCTAGCCATCTCTTTCTGAGATACAATTTTTCGTTATTTTGAAGCCCCACTCTGGCTCTTGCCAAGGGCCGCAATATTGCCTGACCATAAATATGGTCTAATGGCTGAACGCGGTTTCTGGGACCTCTCCACGGGTAATCCTCATCCACATGGTGGCACTTAGTCATCGGGTTTTTATCGCTTGTGTTATGTCCTAGGGGGTATAAATCTACTACTACTATCAAGAATATACCCACTGCCTACCCAAAAGCATGTCCTAAGAGTCGATTAATTAATGGGTTCATTCGAAGTCGGAGTGCTTTTGCCTAAGAGGCAAGGAACAAACAGTCTGCATACTAATGAATCAGATCTATAAAGTGGATGCGCACACAACATTCAGATTCTAGAACAGGACTACAGTCCAGCAGTAGACGAACCACCATAACTTTCCAGTTTACAGCTGGTGAACGTGAAGAGCAGGGAGAGATACATATGTTACAGTTTACAGTTTAATTTCAAATGCATTTGTTTTTTGCCCAGGAAAGATTCAACTGTACTACAACCACCACCACCACTACCACAACCACTATTAATACTACTGCTACTGCTGTTAACTACACTGCCCTGGCTGCTTGAGACGGGAAGATGCTCTTATGATAATGTTCCACACGCTGTGATGTCGGTTCTTTGCTTAAATACTACCACTACCATCAACACTACCACAACCACTGCAACTATTAATTCTTCTACTTCTTCTTCCTCCCCCCCCCCTTCCACCTCCTCCTCCTCCCACGATTACTACTACTTCTACTACTACTACTACTGCTGCTGCTACTACTACTACTTCTGCTGCTGCTTCTTCTCCTTCTTCTTCTTCTTCTTTTGCCCGTTATCACTTTAAGGGGTATAGGGCCTCAACCAATTTCCGCCAGTTCGTCCTATCCTTTTCTATGGCACATAGCTAACCCCCTGCCCTCCCTATCTTTTGAAACTCACTCTCTGTGTTTTTATATGTTTGTATTTCTATGCCCCCTATGGGTTGTAGTGTAAAGACATTAAGTTACACTGTTCTCAGCATGCGTCCTATCTAATACCATTGTCTTTACCTTTTGATTTACTGGAATTTATTTATTCTCGTTGAGAGTTCCACATTAGTGATTATATTCTACTATTTAACTGAAACATTGACTGAAAAAAAGTATTATCAAACCTACCAGATTCCTGCGCTGAGTTATCCATATCGAATGGATCGCCATTGTCCGGGAGAAGAATGTCTTGTTCAATGTTAAATATATCACTTAGTACTGTTTTGCCCATTGACCAGTCCTCCAAGTTGGATTCTGGTGCATCGTAACCGTAACAAATACCTGAAAAGTAGACAGATATGTCGGGGTAAATAAATTATAAGATAAGAAGAAAGTGAAATTTAAAAAAAAAAAATACAATTAAAGTGCCGACTTCACGACACTTGTTCATCCCCTAGGGGTAATCAATATCCTTGGTTAAAATACGTTCAACTCAAATTTGAATAAATCGAGCGGGTTGTTCCTCTTCTCCCCTCTTCAGTACATGAAAGTTTAGAACAACAACAACCAAAATCTCAGCCTGGATTGCATACAAACAGGACAGATACCCCCTTCAACCTTCAAGGAAGTTGCAATATCCGTCCGGTGTAACCTTTATGCATGTGCCAGTAAAGCAGCAATGTTTGCTTTTTTTTTTCCACGATTGTCAGTTTTCCCCGTTCCCATGGCACGCTCAAAGAAAAATGGCTGTTTTTCTCTAATGCAGGTAAAATGTTCTGTTTATGAGCTGATGTCAGGCCATTTTCACTATGCCGTTTTTTTTTTTTTTTCTTAGTGTAAACGTATACACCTAAGTTGATGCGAACGCTTCGTGATGCCGGCATGCCGGGTTCGACTGACTGACTGACTTTCTACCCCACCAGGACATCACACAAGCGATAAACACCCGATGACACAATGTGCCACCATGTGGATGAGGATCACCGTGGAGAGGTCCCAGAAAACGCGTTTAGCCATTAGGCCATATTTATGACCTGGCTATATTGCGGTCCCTGGCATGAGCCAGAGTAGGGCTTCAAAAAAATGAAAAATTACATCCTAAAAAGGACGGCAAAATTGTCAATGCCGGGTTCGATCCCAGCTGTTGGCCATGCGCCTTGCGTTGGTTTCGACAGTGGTATAAAAAAAGCCGACCCTCCAGAGGGCAATGGCATTCTACTAGACGTAAATTTGCCTAGAAAAACCACTCAACAGCCAGGGGCTGTGGGGGTCTGTTCTTCAACGTCCAATAAAGGATACGCAACTAACCTAACCTAAACGTATACACAGTCTTTAGTTTCGAAAAAACACGTGGACATAAATTTGGTTATGTTTCCTTGTAGTCCACGCGTCGCCAAAATCCATGGAGCCTCCGTATATTTTGCGCAATATGCCACAATGAGTGTTCAACCTCTCAAAGTCCAACCCCACGTCGTGAGAGGTGGTAACAGAACAAAGTAGGGGATTGCTAGGTGTGGGCGAAGTATGGTGTGGCCTCGTGCCACGGGACTGCTACGGTAGCCATGAAGGCCACCCTGGGTCACCCAGAAACGTCCTGGCCAACGGGGCTCTGGTGAAGTTGCGACAGGCCTAGCAAGCCGGCAATGGATTTATTATCGTTACAGAAAATACAATGAGATATAAACGGACTGATCAAACGGTATCTGACCATGGCTATGTTAAGAGACTACGAGACAGGAGAAGGCATTTGACAGAGTCGACAGACAATTATTACGGAAAGTAATGGCAAGATATGGAGTAAGCGAACACCTCATCGAAGTGTGCAAAAGTTTATACATGGATTGTAGAAGTGTAGTTAGAATAAATCAGGGAACATCTCATCCATCCACAGTAACATCTGGAGTAACACAGGGGTGTGTCTTATCACCATTGCTGTTTATTACCTACATCGACAGTATATGCAAGAATGCCAAGCCCATGAATGAAAATGTTAGTAAGATCAATGAATTACTCTTTGCAGATGACCAGGCCTTGATAGCAGATGCAGCCATTAAATTGCACAACATCTAACATCCATGAATGAAGAATATAAAACAAATAATATGAGAATCAACACTGAAAAGACAGAAGTAATGTCAATAGGAAAAAAGAAGACAGATCTAAACATAGCAATAGAGTGCAAAGGCATTAGACAGGCATCTGAGTTTAAATATCTGGGAACTACATTTACCGAAGGTGGGAAATTGGATAAAGAAATTAACATTAGATGCAGTAAAGCAAACCAAGTATTGTGACAGCTAGCTCCCCTCCTATAGCGTAAGACAATCCCAATCGGCACAAAGAGACATCTTATTCAAAGCATATTCCAACTCTGTGCTCTCAGTGCCAGACATGGTCACTCACAACAAACCATAAAAGAAAATTGGTAACCATGGAGATGAGATGTCTGAGAAGGACTGTAGGAGTGACCATAAGAGATAAGATCAGGAATGAAATCATAAGAGAAAAAGTCGGCACAGAACCAATTCTAAATTACATACGTAGACAGCAGATGAAATGGTTTGCCCACTTAGAGAGAATGCCTTGTGACACTATACCATACAAAGTATACATGGAAAGAGAAGAAGGACGTAGAGCACGAGGTAGACCAAGAACACGATGGAAGGATAACATCAGAGAAACTCTACAACAGCACGATGTGCCTATGGTCGAGGCGGCCAGAAGAGCTAGAGACAGAACCTTATATCTCCCTCGACACCCAAAGCGGTAAAAGAGGAAGTGGAGAAGAAGAAGAAGAAGTGTTCAACTATACATTTTTAATTGCAATGGCAATGCCAAGTTTATTTCAGTCAAACTAGATGCAATATTACAAACATGGCATGTTATTAAATGGGCCCAGATACAATTCACACAAGAGATCATAACCTCGTGCGATTAGTGTGTCTCCAGTGAGGCCTCTTGGTATTGTATCTGATTCTGTTTCATGTTTTTATACAAACTTTCTGGAAGATGGGTATATTTTTTGCTTCACCCTGTTGGGCCCCAACACTTTTCCTAACCCCCATTAAGACTACAGACTATACCTGACTTGTGTAGCAGTTACTAGTGCTCTAATCATTACTTATTTGAAGGTTTGAAAGGGGTTTCCAGGATATCGTAGGTAGTTTAACGTCCTTTTAGGACGAAATTCTTTGTTATTTGAAGCCCCACCCTGGCTTTTGCCAGGGGCTGCAATATAGGCAGGTCATAAATATGGCCAATTGTCTGAACGCGGTTTCTGGGACCGCTCCACGGTGATCCTCATCCACATGGTGGCACTTTGTGTCACCGGATGTTTTTTGCTTGTGTGATGTCCTGGTGGGGTAGAAAGTCAGTCAGTCAGTTAGTTTCTAGGATATACTCGTCATCTCCTAGTGGGATGCAATTTTTAGTTATTTTGAAGCCCTACCTTGGCTTTTGTCCAGGGCCCTAGAAATAGGGCCTTAGATATGGCCTAACGGCTGAACGGGGGTGATCCTCATCTGCATGGTGGCAATTTGTGTCACCGGGTATTGGTCCTGGTGGAGTACACATTTTCTGCCTACTGTTTCTAGGATCTGCCTTTTGGTCTGCTGCCTAGACTAAGATTATTTAATCTCATGATGGTATAGTAAACCTTCAGGTTGCAGGGGTGTGCTTTAAAATCAAACAAACATAGACAAACAAACAAACACACACAAACAAACAAACAAACACAGACAAACAAACACAAACAAACACAGGCAGACAAACACAAACAAACAAACAAACACAAAAAACATAGTCAAACAAACATAAACAAACAAACACAGACAAACAAACACAAACAAACACAGACAAACAAACACAAACAAACAAACACAGACAAACAAGCACGAACAAACACAAACACAAACAAAAAAAACACAGACAAACAAACACAAACAAACAATCACAGACAAACACAAACAAACACAAACAAACACAGACAAACAAACACAGACAAACAAACAGGCTTAATTTCCCCATGAGTCTATCATCGAAACCACTGGCCGCCATGATTATGATTTTCTTGGTGTTAAAAAGATGTAAATTCCAGCTAAAAGTTTCTAGGTGTTTGTCCAGCTCTTGATTTTAGTCTTGTTCCAGTACTTACGTTTTGCATGTACATCCGTTTTACAGATATATCTAATTTTACGCAGAGTGTTGGTTCCTTGCCTTTCAGGGAGATGCACTCAGACTTTGAAAGAAACCACTAATTAGTCGACTCTTATGACATGCTTGTAAGGCAGGCATTGTGACTCCTCTTGTTACCCCCCCCCCCCCTCATAATAGGACCCCACGGGGATATACGATGATGATGGTGATGACGCTGATGGTGATGATTATAACGACGACAACGATGATAATGATGATGATGATGATAATCATAATGATGATGTTGAAGATGAAGATGGTGAGGATGAAGATGATAATGATGAAGATGATAATGATGAAGATGATGATTAAATTCATGATGATGATGATAATGACGATGATGATGATGATGAAGGGTTTAAGAATTAATACAACACACTCTTACCATTCTCATTTGCCGGCTGTGGGACATTTGTCAGGTTCGTATAGCGAGATTCATCCTCCAGACTGCTAACACCGCTGTCATCACTTTCATCGTACAGAGACTCTTGTGTCTTCATCATCATCGCGTTTGGTTCCAGCACTCGCGATTTACCAGCGAAAAAAGGCAGTAGTGCCGAAACGGGAGGTAATTTGCCTCGTTTCCCCTCACAGTCAAAGGGACTGATTCTACCTCCGGTAAATCTGGCGCGGCTGGTGTCAAAGGAATAAGCACAAACAGTGCTGGGCTCAGTAAAACACGAACTGTTGCTGTTGTTGTTGTTGTTGTTGCTGTTGTTGTTGTTGTCGCTGATGTTGTCTGTTATGAAAGTAAACTGATGCGGATCTTCATAAACTGAGACCAGCTCAGGGTGGAGAGAATATTGTGCACTGACAGAATGAGTATAAAGACGACTGTCAAAATTGATTATGTCAGTAGCGTCGCTTTGGTAAAAATGTTCCCTGCTCGTAGGGAAATTGAAATGCGGCTCCTGTGCTGAATACTGCTGGTGTGAAAGTTCTGATCTATGATCTTGATGGTACAACTGGTTCTGATGAGATGTAGGACTGATGACTGCAGATGAGCATGAATGCGCGCTGTTAATAGTAGATGGTGATGAAGGTGGGGTAGATGAATGTAAGAAACCTAGTGTTCTTGAGTCTTGTGGATGCGGCGGAGAGATAACTGTTCCATATTCAAATTTTATTGATTGTGTGACGTCAGAAAGCGTGTCTACGGACGTCGGTGGGGGCTGTTCATAATTTATGATGCCGTTTTGTCGCAATGTTGTATATAAGATTGCGTCAAGACAGGGAACTGTAGAATCTAGAACCGAAGAATCGGGCACTGTTGGAGAGAGGGGCGATGATGACGCTTGAGGCGGCGATAGCTGGACGGAGTCGTTGATGGTTGATAGTTGAGTGGAAATCTGAAATACAGTCAACATAAGTAAATATAAGAGGGGAAAAATACAAGAATATACAAGCAAAAAATCACGGAGTATTCATATAAGGTTAATTCTGAATTACCAGTCATGTTGGTGGTGATCGTCGTCACCAACATCATGATCATGACCATTCTTATCATCATGATCAACATCATCAACGTCATTATCAACAACATGAAGTCATAGTCGCTGGTTTTTGTTGTTGTGAATTAGGCTACTACCCCGCCCCCACCCCCACCAATCATACAGACTATACTACGATGGGATATTCATAAACATATTTAAATTAAATTATATCATCTCAGTGAGGGCTTCTTCTTGTCCTTTTTCGTCTTCTCCTCCTCCTCCTCCTCCTCCTTCTTCTTCTTCTTCTTCTTCTTCTTCTTCTTCTTCTTCTTCTTCTTCTTCTTCTTCTTCTTCTTCTTCTTCTTCTTCTTCTTCTTCTTCTTCTTCTTCTTCTTCTTCTTCTTCTTCTTCTTCTTCTTCTTCTTCTTCTTCTTCTTCTTCTTCTTCTTATGTGTATTCCACCACCCCCCTCCTCACTAAACGGTTGGCACGTTGTATTATTGTTTATCCATAGATCCAACTCGTCGAATTTCAACAAATCCCTAATTAGGCGCTTTGGACACCGTTATGTTTGAGAAGCAGTAGGTCAACTCCTTTTGCCCTTAGAATTTAGGTCACAGAGCCAACACAGGGGACTCAATATATGTAGACACACACCTTTGACAACCAGAGAACATATTACTCATAAAAGTCCAGATGACAAAGTACAAGAGAGAAAAAAAGAAGGCGTTGAAAGAATTATTAATAGATACATCACGTGCTGAAGCTGAAGATACTGTACTGCAACTTTCAGGTTGTGTGTTGCCGTAGTTTATGTTTTATTACACACGAGTCTCAACTCCAAAAGGTGTGTTGTTGTTCAGAGACGATGATTAATAGAAGGTCGCAACTCAGAATACACACGGTAGAATTATACTACTTTTGTGTAGCATTATCATCATCATCATCTTTAAAATCACCACCATCATCACCATCTTTTTCTTTTTCTTTTTTCTTCTTCTTCTTCTTCTTCTTCTTCTTCTTCTTCTTCTTCTTCTTCTTCTTCTTCTTCCTTCTTCTTCTTCTTCTTCTTCTTCTTCTTCTTCTTCTTCTTCTTCTTCTTCTTCTTCTTCTTCTTCTTCTTCTTCTTCTTCTGTTTCTCTTTCTTTTTCTTCTATTATTATTATTATGTGTTCGCCCCTCCCCCTTCCCCCCCGAAAGGGGCGGTTTGCACATTACAGCCATGGTGTACTATCTGCATTGATATGGTAAATGCATTCATTTTCACAAAACCCTTAGTCAATCTTTGCTACCTAATTCTTAAAGGATAGGGGGACAATAGGGATTGGAGGGGGGGGGGGGGGGGGTGGAGATAATCACACAAAACGTAACGTTAACCAGTGACCTGCCTTTCCCCCACCCCCCCCCCCCCCCCCCCCCCCCCCCCCCCCCCCCCCCCCCCCCAATCGTTGCCGGGCTGTGAGGAAAGGAAAAAAGCCGCTGACACATACGACAGAAACTGAAATTTACTGTACTTCAACTTTCAGTTTGTGTGTAACCGTAGTTTATGTTTAATTACAGACAGGTCTCAACTCTAAATTGTGTTGTCGTTCATACGCAATGATTTATACGACAGTACAGGTTACAACCAGGATCTGCAGTGTCGTATGTGTGTGTCATGAGTTTTATGTGTTCATATTCAGCATTGTTTTCACATCTTGAAGCGTTCACTACACAGCGTTTCAATTATTCATGCCAGCGAATCTTCTTTTATCAAAAGCCTTTCACTTATTTCTAATGTGTTATATTTGTTCATAGATACACAGCGTCATTAAAAACACACTGAATGAAATATGTTCTCTACGTCGTGTAAGCTAAAGTCAGCTGGTCTCAAATTGTTACAGCCGCATTGAATATACTATTAAAAAAAAAAAGCTCACAGCTGCTGAAAGTAACATAGTTTTATCATAATTTTAACATTCACATTCTTTGTAATTCAATGAATTAAACTGTTCAAATTTTACTCTAGAATACCTTAGGGTTTCACCAGTCAATTGACAGTTATTTTGTTTTGGGTCACTGATAGTTTTTTTAGGTGTATGGGCTATCTCTCATACTTATAAAAACGCTTCATCTGATAACTATGCATTTTTAAAATAGTGTTTTCACGAATTATTAGTCCTTATTTCCACTGGACTGCCGTTTACACAAGGCTGATGTAATCGTAACATACACCCCAGTTATAACGTCTTCGTACCCGTGTGGGTTTTGGGACCCCATTGTTGGGAAAACAAGAACAGACCCACTGCCACCCTAACAAGCCTGCCGTGGAGTTGACTTACTGGGGGTTTCCTTCGAGGTCGGAGTGCATCTGCCTGAGAGGCAAGGAACCAATAAGTCAGACCTGTCAAACGGATGTGCATGCAATGCTCAGGTTCTGGAACAATTTCACAGGCCAGAGGTGGGTGAACAATCATAATTTTCCGCAGGAGTTTACAGCTGGTGAAAGCGAAGAAGAAGAAAACGGTACTATTCACGTTTCCCCGCTCATCTACACACTTTCTCAGTTTCGTCTAGATCAGAGGGGTGTCACGTTGTACGGTTTTCTTCGAAAAGTGTCTCTCGTCGGACCTATGCACAGGCTGTGGGTAAGAAAGAAAGGGGGGGGGGGGTGTTGATTTAGGGTCATTTTTAGATGTTCTGGTGTCTTTTGAGCTGTGTGGTCGTGTAGTATAGAACATGCTACATCGGCGCTGATGTAATTGGAGGCAAGACAAGGTGACACCCCTCTGACGTAGAACATTCTGAGAAAGTTTGATTACAAGTTCAGCGACAGTGTAAATGGGCCGGCACACTTTAATAGGACTAAGAAAACTTCTTCTAGGGGTTCAACGACGCATCTGGAACTTACCTTGCTGGCCTGCCATCCCGACTGAGATTTTGTAATCTAAGGGTGTTCAGACGTTCAAGTGACAGCTCGGAGGGGAAAACGGCCGCGCATGAACAGTCCAATTTAACAGGGTCAGCAGATTCATTACAGATGGTCGCTCTCGTCACGACACGCCTCAAAGTGTTTCTGTCTCTATCCAGTTCTCCAGCCCTATGTGCTTCCATTGCCAATGCATCTGCAATGTCATGTACCCACCTTCGCCTAGGTGTGGTTCTAACTTGTTTTCTGGAAACTAGCCTCCATTTTGTTTTGGGTCTCAAAGCCACAGTGCCATTTCGGGACAGGATGCTGTATATAAGCTAGTTCTCTCCGGATTTTCAGATCACGTAAGACTTCGAGGCGTGTCTCCCCATCTGTAACTTTCTTTTCAAAAGCACCGATATGGTTCTAAGATAGGCTATTAAAAATTAAGTGAAAGGTTCTTTTGGCCACGCTTGAGTATAGGCACACGATGCCTTCCTTTTATTGTTTATAGACAAAACAGTACTGGGCTGAGCGGTGTGGTCAAATAATACCGACCACCTTTACTTTCCAGGACTTTTGCTGATACCCATTTTAGATTGATTTGACCTGGAAGCCAAGGTCAATTCTGAAATAATAACAATAAGGTTTATATGCGGATTCAAACCCAAGACTTTCAGACAATGTCTAGTCTATACAGAGTTGAGCTGAGCTGAGTGGACAAGAACCGACACCACGGCACTTGGGGCATTCCCATAATCCCTTTGTCCCCATTTTCAGCAGCCAACATAGAGTTCCAATAACACTGCTGCCAGTAGCAGACAGATTAAATATCCTTTCACTAGGGCGTCTAGAATCGTCACTCCTTGCTGCCTCACTCTCACCAGACTGTGATGACAAATTTGCTGTTCCGAATTGTACACGTGCTCCCATAAAGCCCTAACCACGTCTGCTTTATCGTGCATCAGTATTCCACCAAGTTGTGCAGAGGCAGCTAGTCTGTCCGCCTGTTCATTTCCCAACACACCGGCACATCACGGAGAAAAGATCCAGACAATGCTTTTTACCCGTGACCTCCAATGTCTACCCAGTGCCTAAAAAAGTATGTTGCATATCCTTTACATGACGTTGTAGAATCAAACCTCAGCATTTTTTTTTAATATTAAGGTTTATTTAGGCAAAT